CACGCTACACCCCTCCCCCTCACACACACGCTACACCCCTCCCCCTCACACACGCTACACCCCTCCCCCTCACACACACGCTACACCCCTCCCCCTCACACACACGCTACACCCCTCCCCCTCACACACACGCTACACCCCTCCCCCTCACACACACGCTACACCCCTCACACACACGCTACACCCCTCCCCCTCACACACACACGCTACACCCCTCCCCCTCACACACACGCTACACCCCTCCCCCTCACACACACGCTACACCCCTCCCCCTCACACACACGCTACACCCCTCCCCTCACACACACGCTACACCCCTCCCCCTCACACACACGCTACACCCCTCCCCCTCACACACACACTGCTCCCCTACCCCTCCACACACACACTACACCGCCCTCACAGACTACACCCCACAGCCCTCACAGACTACACCCCACCGCCCTCACAGACTACACCACGCCGCCATCACACACTACACCCCTCCTCCATCACACACTGCTCCCCTACCCCTCACACACTACACCCCTCCGCCCTCACACATTACTTCCCTACCCCTCACACACACAACACCCATCTCACACACACATGGTCACCTTCACACTACACCCTCCCCCTAACACGCACACTGCATTACTCACTCTAACACAACAACAACATTTGTAGAGCGCCTTTCACGTCGGGAGGACGTCCCAAGGCGCTAGACAGAGTACAGCATTTCAGATCCGAGCTGGGTCAGGGGGGAAGGGAGGGGAAGGGTGGGGGGGGCGATGGCATGGTCAAAGAGGAGGGTTTTGAGGCGGGACTTGAAGGAGGCTGAGGAGGGGGCGCGGCGGAGTGACTGGGGGATGGAATTCCAGAGGTTGGGGCAGAGTTGCCTTCAGCCACTGGTGGGGCAAGTGGGTGGAGGGATGTGGAGCAGGCTAGAGCCGACTGAGCGGAGGGAGCGGGCGAATTGGTAGGGGTTAGGAGGTCGCAGAGATAGGGTGGGACGAGGTCATGGAGGTGAGGACCAGGATCTTGAACTGGATCCTCTGAAGGATAGGGAGCCAATGGATTGGGCGAGAGTGGGGGAGATGGGGTCACGGAGTTTGGTACGGGAGAGAGGGAGAGGACACTACACCCCTCCCCCTTTCACACAGACACTGCACCTCTCCCCCGCTCACACACAATACACCCCTCCCCCCGCCTCACACACTGCACGTCCCACTCATACCCTGACTACACCCCTCCCCCCTTTCGCACACTACACCCTCCCACTCATACCCTGACTATAATAATAATAATAATCCTTGCATTTGATATAGCGCTTTTCACGTCGGGAGGACGTCCCAAAGCGCTTCACAGAACACACTGTAAAATGAATTGACTGTATATTTGTGGGTGAACGCGGCAGCCAATTGTGCACAGCAATGTCCCACAAATAGTCGTAGATTGAAAATGACCAATTTTTTTTTATGGCTATGGAGGGAAAGAGGGAGATAGCGAGGGGGGAGGGGAGAGATAGCGAGGGGAGAGATAGAAAGAGGGGAAGGGGGGCAGATAGAGAGAGGGGATGAAGGGATGGAGATAGAAAGGGGGGAAGGCTTGGTCAAAGAGAGAGTTTTGGAGACTCGCCTTGAAAGAGGCAAGGGAGGGAGCGAGGGGAAGGGATGTGGGATTGAGTTCCATTGTGTGGAGGCAGAATGACTGAAGGGCTGACCTGCAATCATGGGGTGGGCTGGGCAGGGGATATGGAGCAGGCCGCTGAGCGGAGGGAATGGACAGGTTGATATGGAGTCTGCAGGTCACAGAGGTAGAAAGGAGCAAGGCTGTGGAGGGCCTTAACGATGAGGATTTTGAACTCTATTCTCTGGGAATGGAGAGCCATTGGGGGTGATGAGGTCATGGAGCCTGGTACGGGAAAAGACACGAGTTGTAGAGTTCTGGATGATTAGCAGTTTATGAAGGAAAGAGTTGGGAAGGCCGACAATCAGGGAATTAGTGTAGTTGAGCCTACATGTGATGAATGCATGGATGAGGTTTTCAATGGCCTGAGGCGTGAGGCAGTGGTGGTAGAAAGGTCAGTTGACGCCAAGATTTTGGACTGGCTCGATGAGGTGGAGTGTGCATCATTGGAGAATGATGCTTTCAGCGCCTGAGGTGTGGAGGTGCTGACAGGAGCCAATCAGGAGGGCCTCAATCTTGTTGACATTCAACTGAAGAAAGTTAGCTTTCATCCAGGACTTGATGTCTGACAGAAAAAAGTGGTCCTGGAGTCGAGAATGGAGGTGAGAGATAGAGTTGAGTGTCATCCGCATACACGTGGAAGTTGACCCCCATGTCTGTGGATGATGTCACCACGAGAGTTCTGAGGAACACCACACAAGACGGTGCGGGGGCTGGAAGAGAAGCCATTTGTGGAGATGCATTGGAGATGGTATGAGAGATGTGGGGAGCTGGTGGAGAGATGGATGTGTGTGTGGGTGAGGAATGTGTTTGTGTCCCTCTCGGCCATCCTCGACACGTATGCCCCCGTCATCTCCTCCTACTCGCACAAATCGCTGTGGTATTCCAGCCACCTCCTCTCCTTCAAATCTCAGTTGCGCTCTGCCAAATGTACTGACGCAAATCAACATTAACGGTTCACTGTCAGATCTGGCAGAACTGCACCAAAACCTCTGCCCTCGCCTCACCATACACTGCCCTCGCCTCAGCGAAGTCATCCTTATATTTCCAAGATTCCTCACTGTTTACTACTTTTCCTAGCTAGATTTCCTTAGAATATTTGTGGAGTCCTGTAGCTCATTGGTTAGAGCACTCGCCTCTCAAGCGAGAGACCTAGGTTTGATTCCCGGCAGGGCAAAACCTTGGGGAAGTTTCCTTACTCCACACACCTAATAATAATCCCTCCAAAAAACAAAAAAAAAATTGGTCACTTCAATCCACGACTGTTTGTGGGACGCTGCTGTGCACAATTGGCTGCCGCGTTTCACCAATATACAACCAATTCACTTTACAGCATATTCTGTGAAGCACTTTGAGATGTCGAGAAGACGTGAAATGCAAGGATTATTATAGTATCATCTGCAAACTTGGAAATTGTACTCCCTATACCCAATTCCAGGTCATTTATATAGATCATAAACAGCAGGGGTCTCAATACTGACCCCTGGGAGACACCACTGCAGACTTCCCTCCAGTCAGAAAAACAACCGTTCACCACTACTCTCTGCCTCCCAGCCAGGTCTGTATCCGCTGCCACTGTCCCTTTAATGCCTTGGGCTTCTATTTTGCTTACAAATCTCTTATGTGGCATTTTATTAAATACCTTTTGAAAATCCATATAAACTACATCAACTGCACTACCTTCATCCACCCTCTCCGTTACTTCATCAAAAAACTTACAGGTTTGTTTGACACAATTTGCTTTTAACAAACCCATGTTGACTGTCCTTTATTAACCCATAATTTTAAGTGAAAATTGATTTTGTCCCGGATTGTAGTCTCCAGAAGTTTCCCCACTACTGACGTCAGGCTGAAGATTTCCTCTTTGGTCCCTAATTGGACCCACCCTACCTTTGACTAACCTTTTATTCTCTATATGCCTAGGGTTCCCTTTTACGTTACCCACTAATCAGTTCTCTGTACTTTCTATTTAATTATCTTCTGTATTTTGGACCTGGCATTTACCGTAAGCCTCCTTTTTCTGTTTTATTTTAATCCCAATTTCCTTTGTCATCCAGGGAGGTTTGGATGTCCTTCCTTTCCCTTTTTGTGCGAATATATTTGTTTTGTCCCCGAACTATCTCCTCCTTGAAGGCTACCTATTGCTCGTTAGCTGTTTTACCTGCCAATCTTTCTTTCCTTGGCTAGGTCCCTTTTTAACTCACTGAAATTAGCCCTCTTCCAGTTGGGTATCTTCACCTTGGTATTCCAAGAATCGAATACAAAACCCTCATTCTTATTGCCATGGTCCTGCTCCCCCTACCTCTCTGACCTTATAACCCCATATCAGTCTGTCCGTTCCCTCCGCTCGGCTGACACCGGCCTGCTTCAGGTTCCCCGGACTTCCCACCCCACCATTGGCGGTTGGGGTTCAGCATCTCTGCCCCCACACGTGGAACTCTGTCCCGCAATCCCTCAGCCTCACCCCCTCTTGCCTCCTTAAAGTCCAGTCTGAAGACCTTCCTCTTCAACGGTGCCTTCGGCCACCCTCCTGCCCCTACCCGCCTCCCCTTCTGACTCCAACTCCCAGCTTGGGTCCAAAACTCAATTGCCCAGTGTTCTGGGACGTCATTCTGACGTGAAGGGCGCTGTACAAGTGTAATTTGTTGTTGGGTGGGGATGTGTGTGTGGGGGGGAGGGTGTGTGTGTGTGGGATGTGTGTGTGGTTGGGGGGAGGTGTGTATATGTGGGCAGGGGGGAATATATGTGCGCGGAGGTGACTGTGTATGGTGGGTGTGTGTGGGGGGGAGGAATGTGTGTCTGTGAAGGGTGTGTGTGTCAGCCTATATGTGCGTGTGGGGGAATATGTGCATGAGTGTGGGATGTGTGCGTGTGCGGGGGTTGGAGGGAATGTGGTGAGTGGAGGTGGCGTGCAGATGAAGCAGGCAAGTTCATTTGTTGAGTGGGCCGTGTATCATTTGTTGAGTGGGCCGTGTATCATTTGTTGAGTGGGCCGTGTATCATTTGTTGAGTGGGCCGTGTATCAGGAGCTGTTGGTCAGCCTGCTGGTCAAAGTTAGTACAGGTGAAGCACATGGGGCTCACATGGCAAGAGTGTTTGTGTCCTTTATACAAAATATGCAGAACTTCAATCAGCCCAGACCAGCCACCTCCCCCCCACCCTGTGACACAGCCCAACAACAGTGACAGCCCCAGTCAGCGACGGCTCCAGTTAGCAACAAGGGAGGCACTTGTGACTGTAAAATATTCCAGTGAAAAACAGAGGGCAAGGAATCTGAAAGAAAGGGCACATAAGTGATGACCTGACAAAATAATTGAAAGAGAAACATAAAATACAAAGAAAAAAAGCAGTCTCGCTGAAGTTTAATATTCATTCTGTATCAGGTATTTTAACGCATGTCACACGTGTGTCAGTGGCACATGTTCTGCCCTGGGACAAAAATGCCCGTCTACACAAGTCCTTTTACAACATGAACCAATAACATTTATGGCTATGAATGAATGTTGCTGACAGGATACTAAAATAGCCTCATTAAAGATCAAATAACAATCTAAAGAAACCAAAAAAAATCAGTAGTTCACCTTGATTGTTTACCAACATCTTGGCCAGGATTGGGGCTACAATTCTCTCCTGGTTTAGAGCGAAAACCAATCAGGGGAACTTTTCTTTGTCCCCACAAGCCACTGGATCGCAGCAAATGGATTTCATTTGGCAATTCTTCGGGAACCAAAAGAACTGTTTGTTAAGCATTAAAATCACTGCTCTGAAAAGATGTTTTCATATATAAGCATACTTCTAATTGACTCCACATTTGTCAATGTGCTTCAAAGATCACAGCATTGACTGAGAATAAAGAAGAGGTTTGGAGCTGTGAGTTATTCAGAGAACTGTGAGTTAGTGTGTACGCACTGAGGACAGTGCAGCTCTAGTCTTAGTGCACTAACACAACAAAGGCTTGTTGCAGCGTCTGTTACCATTGTAACTGCCTCTTCTCTACCTTCAGACTTGTCCATGGTTAGGAAAAGGAAGCTCTTGGGACTCGCTGCTTATTTAGAACTTCACCCAAAACATGTTAGCATCTCACTAAACATTTCTTCAAAGAAACACTTTACACAAATGTGACTAAAAATGTTTTTATAAAATAAATCTTCAGCAAATGTCAGTTGCCCCACAAGTTGCTGTTTGGATAGATCGGGTCTTCAATAACGACCTGCAAGAGACAAGTGCAGACAATAAAGAGTGGCTGGAGCCTGGGGTTCAGTGATGAGAGCAAAGCTGTGTGTTAGGTGTGTATAACAATGCCAGCTTAGAAAGTGAGCACTGTCCCTCTGGGAGAGGAGCATTACAAGAGTAATGAAAATCAGAGTGTGGCTGTGGGGAGGAGTGAGGTCAGGACACACAGAGACTGTGAGGATGTGGAAACCTGCAGAGACAGAATCAACAGCAATGTTTAACAGAGACACAGGCAAAGATTGGACAGGGACTGAGGGGAGTGAGAAAAGGGCACCGCATTGAGATTAAAAGATCTGACAAGATCCAATAAAACAGGGGAACAGACTTGTGGGCTGAATGTGTTCCAGATTTCTGTTACATATATTCAACCTTTAATCCCAGCCAGAAAGTTCCCACACTTACACACTGGTTACAAGACACAGCCGTGACAACTGGCAATTTACTCAACAGAAATTGTAATTTTACTGGAACGTTTTGTCCTGTTAAGTGTAAAATATAGCAGCACACCCTCACTTTATATCATTCGCACACAAAATACAGTCACCCCACTCTATAATATATTTCTTTGGGACATCCTCCCAACGTGAAAGGTGCTGGACAAAATGTCTGAAGGTTCTGTGCTGTGTGATCCTGTGATGTATGAGAGCAGCACTCAGTGATGTACTTACGTGGAGAGTACGAGCGTGACCTAGAATGAGAGCGGTAACCACCTCTACTGTAATATGGAGAAGGAGACCGTCTTCTGAAACGGTAACAGAGCTTTTATCACACTACGTCAGTAATTTTATTAATTCAGAGCTCTGAGAAGCTTTATAAAAACACTTTAGAGCCCTCAAAAGGAGCAATCTGCTAAAAGCTGTTCTGAGGTACTCATCTAGTCTCCTGAAGGAAACCAATCTGAGGGCAAAACACTGAAGCTTTCGCCATTCAGCCGAAGCAGGTTAATTAGAAAGAGAGCTTTACTCTGCAGGCTAAACTTAAAACTCCATTAAACCCAAACGATAGTGCTTCATTTTTAATCAAAGTTAAACCGCATCTGCCTTTTTTATAGCCATTTCTCCAGTCCATTAATGTTCCCCTTTAAAGAATCTGTACTGTAGTTTGAAAAGCTAATCTGAACAAGAACTTCATTCAGCTTTTGCAGTTCCAGACTTGAACACTGAATCTTGTAATGCGACAATTAGTGGGACAGATTCAGAGAAGATTTTGATGGTATTCTCAGAAAAAAGCACTCCTATTGGTGCTTAAAACATTCTGCCACAAGCTGAGAAACGTTCTAGAGTTGAGAGTGAAGCCTACCTGTTGGACCGGTTGTAAAACTCATGATCATCATACCTTTCGGATCTGTTATAGGTGTCTCTGCGGCGGGAGTTACTGTAAAGTGGAGCACAATGGTCAGACGGCTTTCTCCTACTTACATTACACACCCAAAAACACAGAAAGTACGTGCATTTTATAGCATCTCAGAGCTTCCTACGCAGCAGCACACTGCAAGGTCCTACCAGCAGCTACAAAGTGAATATATAATTTTTCTGGAGGATTGTTGGGAAACTCCCTTCTCTTTTCCAATAGTACTATCAGATTTTTACCGTCCACCCGAACAGCCACAGAAGGGATCTCGTTTTAACGTCTCATCCGGCCAGTTTGGCCATCCCTTCAAACCCAGTTGAGAGTTCCACCAACTGAGCTAGGCTGACACCTCTTTTAAGGGCTGATGTGATTTGATGTTCAGGAGTGTTCTGACTGAGGTGTTTAGAACAATGAAGGAAGAGATAGGCTGGATAGAAGGATCCAAAACGAAGGGACATCTTAAAATTAGAGCTAAATGATTGGAGGTCAGATCGAAATGGTACTGAGAAGATGGAATGAGCTGACTCAGAAGGTCATAGATGCAGAACTGATTGAGATGTTTGAAAAGACAAATAGACTTGATCACAAAATAAGAGTGATGTGTAGAAAGAGCATGAAAACCAGATAATATGGCAGAGGACGATGGATGGGCTGCACGGTCCCCTTCTGTTCTGAGGATACAAAAGAGATCAGGTTCCATCGAGCACTGGCTCAGCAACAGCATTCTTGAACCTGGTCACTTTCCAGCCCACTTTTCCAAGCTCGTTAATCTTACACATAGCTTTGCTCAGAGCTAAAATTCACTTTGTTTTAGTATGTAACCTGCTGTGTATCCTTCAAATCTACAGATATGGCTACAATCTTCTTTGACCCTGCAAATTGTCTGTAAACAGTTACTTCCACAAGTGGTGGTGATTCTTGTTGCATGCTGATTGGAATGACAAGCAGTTGACTTACTATGTTGGCCTCCCCATGTAAATCCCAGGGGTGGGTGTGTGAGCTCTTTTGGTGATGGAGAAGTCAACACGGATCCTGCGTCCATCCAGTTCCATTCCATTAGCACGCTCTTTAGCCTGTCAAAGGCAATGATCAACAACAACAAGCATTTACATTGCCCTTGCTGTTCACTAATCAAAATCATAACAATGCTTACAGTTCATACAGCGCTTTTCATATCAAAGCACTTCATGGGATCTAACTGTAAAACGTAGTGACTACTTGTAGTCAAATGCAGCAGTTAATTTGTACACAGCAATGTACAACAAACAGCCGTGAAGCAAGTGCCTGATTTTTATCTGGAGGATTGTTGGTCAGGGCACAGGGAGGGAGAGAGAGAGAGAGAGTATAATTATTAGCAGTGAGTTACCCAAATGATAGACAATGTCTAAATAGCTGAGCTCCTGCATGGACTGCTGCTGAGAACAACAAACAGCTCTTCATGCGGGGTAGCGTCCCAGTTAATGGTGGCGGAGTTTGACAAGGAGCCAAGGGGAGAGGGAGGTAACTGTAAGGACAATCAAAAACGAAGATCGTTAGGCAGGATTTGAAGGTGGTGAGGGAGGGGGCAAGGTAGAGGGATTGAGGGAGAGTTAATAATAATAATACTTGCATTTGATATAGTGCTTTTCACATCTTCTAGACGTCTCAAAGCGCTTCACAGGATAGACTGTAAAGTGAATTGACTGTATATTTGTGGGCGAAACGCGGCAGCCAATTGCGCACAGCAGTGTCCCACAAACAGTCGTGGATTGAAGCAACCAATTTTTTTTTCTTGAGAGATTATTATCAGGCGTGAGGAGTAAGGAAACTTGCCCAAGGTTTCACCCTGCCGGGAACCAAACCCAGGTCTCTCGCTTGTAAAGCGAGTGCTCTAACCACTGAGCTACATGACTCCACAATCCTACAGATTTCTAGAGTTTTGGGGTGTTGTGGCTGAAGGCATGGCTACCAATGGTGGAGTGGAGGGCAAGAGGGACAATTAGGAGGCCAGAGCCAGCCGAGCAGAGGCAGCGGTGGTGGAGTGGGGGTAAGCAGGTCGGATAGGTAGAGAGAAGCGAGGGAATTAAGTATTTTGAAAATGGGTGCGAGGATCTTGCAGTTGATCCGTTCAGTGATTGGGAACCAGTGGAGCCTGACTAGGACTGGTGTGATGAGGATACAGAGTTTTGTGCGGGTGAGTATCCAGGCAGTGGAGTTTTGAATTTATTGGATTTTGTGAATGGTGGAGCTGGGGGACCAGTGAGGAGGGTATTGGAATAGTCCAGCTGGGAAGTGACAAAGGCTTGGATGAGGGTTTCAGCTGTGTCGTTTGTGAGGCACGGACGGAGGTGGGCAATGTGGCGGAGGTGGAAAAAAGCGGTCCTGGTTAGGGAACGGATATGTGGTAGAAAGGAAAGCTGGGGATCGAACCTGACGTCTCTCACCTCAACCTTCATGGCTCTGTCCTTGAATGGTTCAGATCTACCTCTCATACCGTCTCCGCTGCATCTCCACAAACGGTTTCTCCTCTAGCCCCCGCACCATCTTGTGTGGCGTTCCTCAGGGCTCTGTCCTCGGTCCCCTCCTTTTCAGTATCTCCCTCTTAGTGACATCATCCGCAGACATGGGGTCGATTTTCACATGCATGCGGATGACACCCAACTCTATCTCTCTGCCTCCACCCTCGACTCCAGGACCACTGCTGTCTTGATGTCAGACATCAAGTACTGGATGAGAGCTAACTTTCTTCAGTTGAATGTCAACAAGACCGAGGTTCTCCTGAATGCACATGCCACCTTACTAAGCCAGTCCAGAACTTTGGCATCTTGTTTGACCCTCAACTATCCTTTCTACCCCACATCCGTGCCATGTCTTGCTCTGCCTTCTCCCACCTCCGCAACATCTCCCGGCTCCTGCACTGTCTCACACCGCAGGCCACCGAGACCCTCCTACATGCATTCATAATATCCAGGCTCGACTATGCAAACTCCTTACTGGTTGGCTTCCCCAACTCCTCCCTCCATAGGCTGCAGATCATCCAGAACTCTGCAGCCCGTGTCCTTTCTGGCACCAGGCTCCACAACCCTATCACCCCCAATCTCGCCCGACTCCACTGGCGTCCCATCACACAGAGGATACAGTTCAACATCCTGGTCCTCACCTTCAAAGCCCTCCATTGTCTTACTTCCCTCTACGTTTGCGACCTTCCAACTCCCTATCAACCTGCTCGCTCCCTCCTCTTAACGGGCTGTGGCCTGCTTCACGACCCCACCTCGCCCGGCCCACCATTGGCAGGCGGGCCTTCTGCCTCTCTGCCCCACCCTCTGGTACTCCATTTCGCATTCCTTCTGCCTCGTCCCCTTCCTTGCCTCCTTCAAGACCCTCCTCTTCGACCATGCGTTTGGTTACCCTCCTTCCCACCCTGCCCTCCACTCTCCCTGATCCCAACCCCCAGCTATGGTCTGAAACACTGATTGTCCAGTGTCGTGGGACGTCCTCCCGACGTGAAAGGCGCTATACAAATATAATTTTATTGTTGTTGACACCTAAGTTGTGCACGGGTTCGGAGACTCTGACGGAGAGTCTGGGGCGGTTGAGGAGTTTAGATCTGAAGGAGAGAAGACGTTGACAGAGCCAAAGAGTATGGCTTCTGTCTTGCCGACTTTCAGCTGCGGAAAATTTGTGCTCATCCTGGCCTTGATGTCCGTCAAACAATCTGAAAGGACATCAGCGGACTGGGAGTTGTAGTTGGAGGAGAAATATATTTGAGCCTCGTCAAATGTGGAAGTTGATCCAATGTCTGTAGATGATATAGCCAAGAGGGAGCATGTGGAGCATGTAGAGAACAAGCAAGTGCCAAACTTACCTCTTTAGCATCATCAACGTTCTCGAAGTAGACAAAGGCAAAGCCTCTGGAGCGATTTGACTGCTGATCGTACACCACGTTGACACCAGCAAGAGGGCCGTATCTAGAAAAAACTTCCCGCAGATCTCGCTCTGTGGTGTACAGGCTCAGTCCAAACACCCCCAGGCATGTATTAGGATCTGGGTTAGCCTAAACGAGAAACATACAGTGACGTAAGTACCGTGCATCAAACACTCAAATCTTACTTTCCAACACCAATTTTTACTGAAAGCCAGAATGAAATGTTACTGATTCCTCAATCTTTTGACAAAGGCAAACAGATTTTTACAAACATAAGGACAAATCCTTGGTGAGTTTAAATTCCTCTCTGCTCCTCTCTGATGGAAGTGTAACTAAATCAACAGCCATTTTAAAGAGGTATGGCAAAGTACAAAATTAAAATTATTTTATTCCCAAAAAAGGGGAGAAGCGTTTCACACAGAAACTAGCCCCTCTCCAGGGTACCATTCACAGGGACACATTACATGCACCGCTTCAGCTTAATTTAAAATTCCATGGACATTGGAAGGTGAAACCCAAATAAGTCAGAAAAGGCTACAAATCAACCATCAATTGTTACGCACACGTCATCAGTAACACATCAACACATCAAATTTGTGCTCACCTCTCGCCTTTCATTCCCACCCCATGAGTCAGAGGGCAGCACGATGAACCAATCTATCCTCCCCAGACAAAGACCCCACAGGCACACACAGACACAGCCCCCATGGGCACAGACAGCAGCAGTCAGCCTGGATTAGATTTTGGGAGCAGGTTTAAACACTGATGGCCATTTCCTTATTTTCCTTACTGGGTAGGGCTAACAGCCGGTTGTCCTGAGAAGTTGCTGGTGTGAACAGCAAAATAAAGTGCATCCCCAAGACAATGTGCTGTTTAGGTCCATAAAATCCGAAACCTACACGTGGGGTGGTAGGGGGGGAAACTGACCGCTCACATCCTGCACTCCAGCTAGTTCCTGGGCGAACAGAAAGAATTGGCCAACTTCCGGATCATCTGGTCACCATTCAACGTTACTCTCCGTTTGATGTGTGAGTATAAAGATAGAAGTGACATTGGTGAGGATCAGATTACTTTGGGAAACTAAAATGGCTGACTACAAGTCTTTTTGTTGCCAATTAAGTCACTTCCTGCTTTGTGCATCCATAACTACAGTGATCTAATGATTTGGAAGTGATAAATTCAACCGTCGTGCAGCAGGCAAGCAAGCCAAATGTGTGCAGACCCCCTCACTTCCCATGTGCTGGCTGAAATTTTACATAGTGAATGGGCCCACAGTGTAATCATGTTATAAGCAAAGTTGCGCTCTAATGAAGCGTGTTATAAAGGGCTGTTCTGTAATGTCCAAGTCAGGATGAGTGACAGGAATGGAGGTTGTAGCTGTGGTGTGCCACTTCTTCTAATGTGGGTGGTGGTGGCAGGGTGGGTATTGCTGTCCTCCAAGGCTGATGTGTTGCTGGAATGGATTCTGCAGACAGTGCACACTGCAGATAGTGCAGCAACAATAGTGTGGGTGTAATAAAGCTTCAGTCATGAAACTGCAATAAATAAATAACCGGTTCAATGATACAATTAAATTAGGTATTAAAAATTAAGAAAAGAGAGCTGGTGCGTAAACCAAATACCAAGCAGATAAGCAATGTTTTCCAAGATGTGCAGAGAGAAAGAGAGAGTGAGTGACGTGAGCATGGTTTGAGAATCAAATCTCTAATACACCAGACAGAGGCAGGCAACTAATCCACTCTTCAGGAGGAATCAGACAAACCTTCATTCTGGACAATAATTTTGGACACTTCTGGCAGATTTTCTGGCAGCTACGTGTCCTCCACAGAAACAGAAACGGAGTGAAACAAATAGACAGCCAACAAAGGAAAAACTTGCAATGAATATTTTGACTTAGTGGCATTCAGAGTGGAGCACTGAACGGAAATCATGTGAGAACCTGGCTTCTCAAGACCAACACAGATGAGCAGATTATAGGATTTAGCACTCTAGGAAGAGGAGAAGCTTAACAGAGAAAGATCTAATAATAATAATAATCCTTGCATTTGATATAGCGCATTCCACGTCTTGCAGACATCACAAAGCGCTTCACAGAATATTCTATGAAGTAAATTGACCGTATATTTGTGGGTGAAACGAGGCAGAAACGCTGGCACAAATCTTTCAGAAATCATTGGATACTAAAGAGGTACTGAGGATTGGAGAAAGGCAGATGTTACTCTTACTTTTAAGAAAGGTAACAAACGTGAACCAGGAAACTACAGAGCAGTGAGTTTGAAGTCCATTGTGGGTAAAATTATGGAGATCTTATTAAGGATAAAAATCACAGTGCACGTGGACAGAAATTAAGTTATAAATAATAAGCAACATGGGTTCATAAAGGGGAGGTCTTGCCAATCTAACTTACTGATTTTCTATGATGGTGTGACAAGGGAGCTTGATAAGGGTAAGGCTGTGGATGTTGTATGTCTAGATTTCAGTAAGGCCTTTGATACAGTTCCTCTTGAGAGGCTGGTATTGAAAGTAAAGAAAGCGGGAATCAGTGGAGGTATATTACAATGGATAAACAATTGGTTGGCCGGAAGAACCCAGAGGGTGGTGATACAGTGAATGTCATTAGACTGGAAAAATATTACCAGTGGAGTTCCACAAGAGTCTGTTTTGGGACCTCTTTTGTTCAACATTTTTTATAAATGATCTGGAACTAGGAGTCGCAAGCACAGTGGCTAAGTTTGCAGATGACACCAATCTAATGAAGGTGGTAAATGGCAAAGCTGAACAAGATAGGTTAGTTACAGAAGGATTTGAACATATTTGGGAATTAGCAGATCAGGCACATTCACGTGCAGTTGTACAAGGGCTCAACTCCGAAATGATTGCTACATTGTCCACACAATGCTGGCCTAAGAGCCAAAGAGCTTTGTGTGAGGACCCTTGATACAACCATCTTTTTATCTCCTGGGCCATCATAGCGATGAGCATCGAAAAGACTTGCACTAAGTAATCAGTCTTTCAGCCAGTCACACTGAATCCCAAGTGCCACTGGGCAGTGCCCCAGGCAGTTATCTACCATAGACATCATCCAGTTCATTATATGGACACCTGACAAATTCAGATCCTTCACTTACTACTGAAGCCCAGTGTTGTTAAACCTCAGAAAACAAAAGGCAAATTAATAACCTCAGGAATGAAGGGCAGCAGCTCCCATCAGTGCAGTCTCCTATCAGACACAACAAGAACCTGGTTGCTGGAGGAATCCTGCGAGCTCGTTCCACACGCTGCTCATTCGAAACAAAGCCAGACAACAACAACTTGCATTTATATAGCGCCCTTCACGCGGGGTAGTTTCTCCTCCACAGACATCACTGTGGAGGAGATGGAGCTAACCGACCCTGGCCTGGTTCTGTAACCAGCATCCCTTTAAAACATGCCTTAATAACTCTCTTTGACTATGTTTTCGGTCACCTTGCAGCCCCCAGATCTCCCCCCACCATCCTCAGCGGCCACACAGCTTTGCTTTTTCGATTCAGATCAACTGGGCACTGCAAGTTTGACCCACATCCACCATGGTAATTTCATATCACAAAATGGAGTTGGTTATTTAGCAATTGAACATTTTATTACAAAGAATTAGCAACTACCAATTCACACAATAAAGCTTTCCTTCATTGAATTTCAGGTGTTGGGTCAAACTAAAGAAAGAGCCTTTGGTTCTGTATGATCATTTCCACTACAAAGAGCACTTGAAATTCAGAAGTGCTGGAGAGCTGGTGTAGTACAGCACAAGGAGGAAAAAGCCAGAGAAACTAGGCAGCTTACCAAATGTTTTGGCAATGTGAAACTTGGGCTCAGAAAGTCTACATACTGGAGGAGGGAAAAGAGCTTCACAGACTGGAGAATGAGTGTACATTAGACGCACTGCGAGGAACAAGGATTTCAATGATCAAACTGTTTATTCATGAAGGATGTAAGAGGGGAGGTAAAAGAAAGATTATCTTTGACTCAGCTGAAGGACCTTTCATGCTGTTGGGAACGTGATCCTTCGAGGCTTTGACTACATTCGTTCTAATCGCAAATACCATAGCAAATACCTCATTGAAATATAGAAGTGGCATTTGTTGTTTGTTAAATGCACCACAACTAACTTTCATTCCCACCAAATATGAGTTGTCTCCACAACAATGGCACAATCCTCTCCCAGATATAGATAATTAAAAACAGCACAGCAAAGGGAAAAGCACCTCACAGGGCACAGCAAACACAGCAAGGAGACGTGGTTCATACCCGATTGCCAATATGGCGTCTGCGATTGGACATGGGCGACCGGCTGTGGCTCCGGCGATGCCTATAATCAGGACTGTACGACCTGCTCCGAGATCTCCTGCGACGGGATCGGGATCTCGAATAACGCCTGCGAGAGCTCCTCCGTGATTCAGACCTACACAAATATTACACATTAGCCTTACTAGTCATACTACAATCACTACCACTGCAGAGCCCACAAGTTACTTATGATCATGCCTCTTTCTCAAACCGCAGTCATCTAATCAAACCCTGCGTGTCTGGAGCCATCTCCTATACCATTGTGGCGAGAGAAAAAGGGACACCAGACGGTTTGACCTATCTATCAACCAAGGCTGCAGCCTTGTCCATATTCTGCAAGGATTCAGGACAAGTTGGTTCAGATTTGATTCCAATCACTGCAGCACCTATTCGAGGACTGGTATCTTTGGATTCTCACTTTGTCCATTCATGCTGTTACACCCCTCAGCTTAGCTAGAAAGCCAGTCCTCTGGGGACTAGACTTCTCATTTCTAAATGTCTGAACCTTCCCCCACATATGCTGTACATTCATCCAACTTTGTGCTAAAGGAAGATCAGTCCTGAGACTACTGTGCTAATGTGACCAAGCGAGGAGGCGTTTCTCCAAGGCATTATTGGTCATCTTTCCAGAAGCCCTTACCTTCCCAAAAAAGCCTCTCAGTGAAGAGAACTACAGAGGGGATCAGAATACCTATGCTTACAAAGAGAGCTTGAGCTTCTGACTGATGGAATGAATCCCTGGACTTCCCTAGTGAGCAGAACTGGGTGGACTGCGGTATCTCCTGAAGCTGGCTCAACAGCGGCACTATTGATTTAATGTGTAATGGACATGCTGAGGTAGGTGGCCATCATTCTCATTCTCAGAGTAGACAAATCCTGAATTGAAGGTCCCACCCACCATGATTAGGAATGTGAAGATCGGAAAGACCACTTGTGGTCCACCTAGTTTTTGATATAGAATTTTACAGCACAGAAGTAGGTTATTCGGCCTATCATGCCTACTCTTTGAAAGAACTATCATCTAGTTCTGTTCCCCGCTCTTATCCGGCCATGCAAATTTTTCCTTTCTAAGTACCTATCAAAATCCCTTTTGAAAGCTATTATTGAATCTGCTTTCACCACCCTCTCAGGCTGTGCATTCCAGACCATAACAACTCTCTGGGTAAAAAAAATCTCCTCGTATCCCCTCTGGTTCTTTTGCCAATTATCTTAAATCAATGTCTTCTGGTTACTGACCCATCTGCCACAGGAAACCTTCTCCCTATCTGCTTTATCAAAGCCCCTAATAATTTTCAACACCTCTATTAAATCACCACTCAACCTTTTCTGTTCTAAGGAAAATAACAATCCAGCCTCTCTAGTCTCTCCACGTAACTGAAGTCCCTCATCCCTGGTATCATTCTGTTAATGACATTTACCAGAATGACAACTATGGCATTTTACGTGACCCTCCCTTTCTACCCCACATCCATGCCATGGCCCATTCTGCCTTCCCCCCCTCTGCCATTGCCTCTCCCCTCATACCGCCGAGATCCTCATCCACACATTCAGGCTCGACTACACTAAATCCCTGCCTGTCGAGCTTCCCAACTCTTCCCTCCACAAGCTACAGATCATTCAGAACTCTGCAGCTCATGTCCTCTCCCGCACAAAGCTCTCTGACCCTATAATGTGGACCAGTTGAATATCAACAAAACTGATGCGCTCCTGATTGGCACCCGTCAATGCCTTCACATCTCAGGTACTAACAGCATCACCATTCATGGATGCACACTACACCTCATTGTGGAACCTTGGTGTTTTAATTGATCCTCAACTATCCTTTCTACCCCACACCCATGCCATGACTCGCTCTGTCTTCCCTCACCCCCGCAACATTGCCCAGCTTCACCACTTACTCTCCCCTCAGGACACCAAAACCCTCATCCACACATTCATCACTTCCAGGCTCAACTATGCTAACTGCCTGCTCATCGGCCTTTCCAATTCTTCCCTACACAAGCTGCAGATCATTCAGAAATCTGAAAAAGGGGAGAGAGGGAGCAAGGTGAAGGGATTGAGGGAGAGAGTTCGACAGCTTCAGGGGGTAGTGGCTGAAAGCACAGCCACCGGTGGTGGGGGGAGGGTTTGGGGGACAAGGAAAAGGCCACTTGATTGGAAGCAGTGGGTAGTGGTGTAGGGGGAGAGCAGGTTGGAGGGATCGGGGGGGCTGCCAGGGCGTTAAGGGATTTAAATAAGAGTGAGGATCTTGGAAGTCGATTCATTCTGTGACAGGGAGGCAATGGAGTTTGACAAGGACTGCGGTAATGGAGGTACGGAGTTTAGTATGGGTGGGAATGCAAATTGTGGAGTTTGGAATTACTTGAATTTTGTGAATAGTGAAGCAGGGGAGACCAGCGAGGAGGGCCTTTAAGTAGTCGAAGTGGGAGGTGACAATGGCATGGACGAGGGTTTCGGCACCATTTGGAGTGAGGTACGGACGGAGGCGGGCAATGTGGCGGAGGTGTAAGAAAAATGTCCTGGCCAGGGAAATGTGGCAGACAAGCTGACAGGACATCAGTGGACTGGGAGTCGCAACTGGAGGACAAGAAATAGATTTGTGTGTCTCCGCATACTTGTGGAAATTTACTCCATGTCTGCGGATATTATCATTGAGAGGAAGCATGTAGATAAGGAAAAGGAGGGGGCCAAGGATGGAACCTTGGGGTACACCACAGGTGACCGGGCTGGGGCGAGAGTAAAAAACATTGCCCGAGATGAAGTGCTGGCAGTTGGCTAAGTAGGATTCGAACCATGCGAGTGAGATCCCACTAAGGTGGATGAGGGAGGAGAGCGGTGGAGGAGGATGACATGATCGACTGTTCCAAACACAGCAGAGAGGTCCAGGAGGATGAAGAGGCTGAGGGACCCTTAGTCACACAGAGAGAGGACATCACCTGTTACTTTGTCTCTATGCTGTGGGCTGAGCGGAAACCGAACTAGAGGGGTTTGAGTAGGGAGTGGAGGGAGAGGTGTGAGCAAAGTTGGTTGGCAACAACACGTTCCAGGGCTTTGGCCAGGAAGAGCAGGTTTGAAATGGGCCGGTAATGCGTGAGATTGAAGGAATCGGGAGTAGGTTTTTTAAGGAGGGGAGTGATGACAATTGTTTTGAGGGGGGAGTAGAACCGGGGCCTGTGGTAGAAGCTGAGGGATGAGGTGTAGGTGATGAAGAAGGAATGGGGGGTGGGGGATGATAGGGGACATGAGGCTGTTATCTATCTAGGAGATAAAGAAGTCCAAGACCTCTTCGCACTTGGCATTAGATGTTGCATTTATTCTAGCACTGTTACGTACACATCCTTGGTTCATGCTGAACAAATCCCGCAAATAAATCTTTCTGGCGCTCCCAAGGCCACTACCAAAGAGGTAGACTGATATTCAACTGTTACCATGTACACGGAAGGCCACATTTACCGGACGGTCTGACTCGGCAGCTCAGCATCCTGTGAAGTGTAGATTTCTGAATCACCCATACAAGCATGGCTTGCAATGTAGTAAGTACTGTCCTTGGATTCCGAGATCCCGCATTTATTTTCCCTCTCTTCCAATCACACTGTCACATCAACCATTTACTAAACCAATGACTTCCAGATACACCACAGTGAGTGACAGCACTGACTGATTACAAGGCAAAAATTACTCCCTTTGTATCCACAGACCTAGGGATTCCACACTGGGGTTATAGTCAGCCTAACACCAGTAGTGGGGAAACTTCTAGAGAGTATAATCCGGGACAAAATAAATTTTCATTTAGAAAAATATGGGTTAATAAAGGACAGCCAACACGGATTTGTTAAATTGTGTCTAACAAACAACAACAACAAGATTCCATTTATAAAGCGCCTTTCACGTCAGGAGGACGTCCCAAGGTGCTGCACAGCTGGGTCATGACCCGAGCAGGGGGGAAATGGTCAGGGTGATAAAGAGTTTTTTGATGAAGTAACGGAGGTAGTTTTGGTCTCCTTATTTAAAAAAGGACATACTTGCCCTAGAGGGGGTGCAGCGTAGATTCACTCGGTTAGTTCCTATGAGGATAGGGCTATATTCTCTAGAGTACAGAAGAATTAGGGGAGATCTTATTGAAACATATAAGATTCTTAAAGGGCTGATAAAGTAGACACTGAGGGTCTGTTTCCCCTGGTAGGAGAATCTATAACCAGGGGTCACAGTCTTAAAATTAAGGGTCAGCCTTTTAGAACAGAGTTGAGGAAACATTTCTTCACTCAGAGGGTAGTGAATTTATGAAATTATGAAATGAAGGCTACCCCAGAACATCTTCAAGGCTGAGACCGATAGACTTTTAAAAAACAGAGGGATTAGGGGATATGGGGATAGGGCAGGTAATCAGAGTTAGGTCTGAAGATCAGCCATGATCTTATCGAATGGCGGGGCAGGCTCGAGGGGCCGAATGGCCTACTCCTGCTCCTAATTCTTATGTTCTAACAGAGGTAGTGAAGTTAGTGCAGTTGATGTAGTTCCTATGGATTTCCAAAAGGCATTTGATAAAGTGCCACATAAGAGATTTGTAAGCAAAATAGAAGCCCAAGGCATTAAAGGGACAGTGGCAGCGGATACATACCTGGCTGGGAGGCAGAAAGCAGAGAGTGGTGGTGAAAAGTTGTTTTTCTGACTGGAGGGAAGTGTGCAGTGGTGTCCCCCAGGGGTCAGTATTGGGACCACTGCTGCTTTTGATCCATATAAATGACTACTTTTATATATATAAATATATATATATATATAAATGACTACTACAGGGAGTACAATTTCCAAGTTTGCAGATTATACTAAGATAAGAAAAGTAGTAAACAGTGAGGAGGATAGTATCAGACTGCAAATGGACATAGACAGACTGGTAAAATGGGCAGACATGTGGCAGATGAAGTTTAATGTGGAGAAATGCAAAGTGAGGCAATATAAGCTGATGGTAGAATCTTAAAGGGGGTGAAGGAACAGAGAGACCTGGGGCTCATATAAGTAAATCTTTGAAGGTGGAAGGCAAGGTAGATAAAGCTATTAAAAAA